GCTCCCTCTCATTGCTGGGGGAAGGAGGCACGTGTCCTGACTGCAATTTAGCCAACTGTAGAAGCCTCTGTCCTCAGATAAACACAGTTGGCATTGTACAGAGGGGCTACCTGCAAGGGAGAGGGAGGACTATTTGATAGTCAATTTCTTTCCTGAAATTAACTCACAGAAAGAAGGACATGAAAGTCGCTGACTCATCAGAGGTCTCCCACTAAACAGACAGAGCTGCAGCAGGATTGGGGCTTATTCCACCTTTTTATCTCCAAATCTGAAGACCGTTATAAAAAAGAAATGGGGGAAAAACTCTGTGGGGCATGAATCATAGAATTGCATGGGTTGGAAGGGACCTTTCATTTCGTCTAGTTCAACTGTCAATCTACCATTGACAAAAACCATCACTAAACCATGTCTCTAAGCACTACATCTACCTGTATTTTAAATACCACAAGGCATGATGACTCAGCCACTTCCCTGGACACCCTGTTCCAATATTTAATAACCCTTTCAGTGTAAAAAATTTCCCTAATATCCAATCTAAACCTCCCCTGGTGCTGCTTGAGGCCACTTCCTCTTGTTCTATCGCCTATGACTTGGGAAAAGAGACCGACCCCACATCTCTACACCCTCCCTTTCAGGTAGCTGTAGATAGCAATAGGGTATGAAGCTGCTGAATATCCAGCAGTGCAGCTAGTTTCTTTTTTGGGGCTTGACAAAAGGTACACTTGAGTGTTTTACTCTTTTCAAAAGATGAGGAAAGCATAGCAGTCGTTTTAGCCAGGTTGTCCTTTCTAGAGGGTGCCTATTTGGCAGCACTTGCTTCAGCCATCCCATGGGAGTCGCCTGTGAAGGCACCCATAAAGGTGCTCACCATCTCAAGGCTAACATGCAGTGTCAGCTTGAATAGAAAGCAGCATTCTAAGGACATGAGGGCCCTGGGCAAGCTGGTCTAGTTGGGGGTGTCCCTGCTGACTGCGGGGAGGTCGGACTACATGACCTTTGGAGGTCCCTTCCGGCCTGGGCAATTCTATGATTCTATGATTGAGACAGGCTCCTGTCCACAGGAGCTGCTCCTAGTTGAGCGGGCTGTGCCGCACCCAGCAGCTTCTCCCACACATGGCTCCATGTCCCAGCAATTAGCCTCCTGATCTCTCAAATTAATGGCATAATGATGATGCAGGGTTTTTTCCAGCACCTCTGTGGTTAGCATTGTGAAATATCAAAGAGCGCTCACTGCAGGAATTGTCCTTGTCCCTCTTCCCGCACAGCCACGGGGCTGTATCACCATCCTTTGCAGGGACTTTCCCTTCCCCATCACTCACCACGTCCAGGCAGCCCTGACAGATTGTGAGAACAAACAGGCTGCAGTAGGGCAGAGGCAGATGGCAATAGGAAAGGAGCGAGGTTGATCAGAGAATTTAATCACCAAGTTCACAGAAGATGCAGGAAAAGGACTCTTCCCTTCAATCACTCCCCATCTGCCTCCTGTCCCTTCCCCCTGCCCACACAAGCTAAGGTGATAGATATCACTAAGAGAAGATCTACATACGGGACTCCACTAGCCATGAGAGCCATCATTGCTCGTGTTGGTGTCACGCTCCCCACCATGACCTCCAGGGACCGATCGGCTCCTTTCTGAATGAACTCATTGGAGTCCCCCATCTTCTGCAGCAAGACACGAGCAATCTCATCCACCTCCCCGTCCATGTGCTTCTTCGTGGTCTTGAAGAGCTCTCCAAGAGTGCTGATCGCACACCGAGCCACCTTTGAGCGGAGGTTGTTCACCTGAGGAAGTTATGAGGAGAAACACGTAAGAGTTACCTTGTAAAGAAAATCAGTTCCCCTAGACAAACATCCCAGGAAACAACAAGACTTCCTGCTGTGTCCAGGTAGAACATAAGAGTATGGAGCAGAAGACCACAAGCACAGAAACACACTCTGATACCAACTTCTTCTCAGGCCTCAGGCCTGGTTATACACTAGAATTTCAATAAGACTGCAGGCCTAGGAAATATTGTTTAATCTAGAACAAAGTGTGTTACTTAGCCCACAATGTGTACTGCTTTGATTTTAGGTCCTTCTATTGAAAATAAAAAAACCACCACCAACAACAAAAAAAGCTAAACAGGGGCTGTTTTTAAACTATAAAGGCACAATTCATAAAGGCAAGCTAGAGGAAAAGTAATACTTTCCTCCTGTCAAAAACTGCACCACTGTCAGTTTGAGCACTCAACCAGGAAACAAAAAATATGAGCTCAAGCCTACACACTAATTCACAGGAGGCATTTGAGTCCACCTGCTGCTCCATCTACTCAGGAGACCGCTAGCTGTTGGACTCAAGGCACTCAAGGATCCTGGAGATCCCATGCAATTACAGCTGCAATTAGTGGGGTTTTACAGCATTCAGTGCTGCTCTGGAGCAATCCTTGCTTCCAAAAATGCTCTCCCACAAGGGTAAGGAAAAGGCACCTCAGAGTCACGTGCTTCATGTGAAAGATACTTTGAAGGACAAAGCAGTGCTTCTTTCTGCCAGACTTAGTTGTGCTTATTAATAAAAACGAACAACGTATGTGCTAGAAGTGCTTGTGAAAGCAGAATCTGGGGCTGGAGTGAAATGAAAGCTGAAAGATGTCTCTGCACATGAGTGTGTAGAGCAAAGAGGAGGAAATTTCCTCAGAAATAGAAAAGTGATGTAAAAATCAGATGAGCTAAGCTGGAAGGGCTCCTTCTCCTAACCCTCATCTCAGAGGGGGAGAATCCAAGTCCTGCATATCTAATTAGAAAGATTTGAAGAGTCCAACACCACAAGGGACATTCAAGCCTCCAACGTCATTAAATATTGGATAGAAAGACTGGTTTTCATGGAAATAAGCAAAGTCTTACTGTCTTCTGCAAGCAAAGGAAAATACCTGCAGTCAATCCCCCGGAATTCTGTGGAGGAGGAGGAGAAAGCGGGAAGAAGCTGGGAGGCAAAAGCTACAGAGCTCAATTACAGCTTGGACAGAGACTTGGGCTGTGGCAAATTAAAATGACCTGAGTAGCGTCTCAGTGTCTGCATTGGTATATGGCATTATAGTGACACACAGCACAGAAAGAGACATACCAGTTAATACCCTCCATACCAGTAAATATAGCTACATGTACAGGCAGATCATATAGATAGGTGAGACAGCCATTAGAAAAATGAGCTTCAAAAATAACAGTGAGGGCAGACACTGAGCACACACGTAAATGAACAAGCACGTATCTACTCTACGTCCTGTGTACGAGGTACATGGGACACAAATAAACATGATGTTCTTACCTCTTTGGTAACTGCCAAAGAAACATCATGAAGTCTACAAAGCAGGACTTCTGAGTGGCAGAGAGCCAGGCGCCTGATGCTGAGGAGTCCCTCAGCCTTCTGTTGCCTGAAAGGTAATTACCAAACAGATTCATTTTTTGTCACCACCCAAGAAGTAGGCAGCACCCTCTGAAATTGCCAGAGCATCAGCTCAAACAAACAAAGGCAGGTGCTTCTCATACAGCGCTTCATTAAATCCCAGAACTTGTTGCCACAGGCTGCTGTGGTGGTCAAAAGCGTACATAAATCCAAAAGGCAAAGAGATAGTTTCAGAGGGGATAAGTTAATTTGTGGCCATTAAACAAGACAGCCTCTCCAAAACCCTTGGCACACAAAGTCCCTTTGTTGCTGCTTCCTAGAAGCTGGGAGACTGTGCCACGTTTCTGTTTCTTGTACCCTCCCTGGACCCTGTCCCTGAGATATTGTCCCACCTGGCTGCTACCGGAGCATTTTCTCTCCTCGCTGTCCCCAGAGGCAAGGAGTGACAGTCTGCACTGCCACTCAATAGCTGAGTTTGCATTCTGCAATCTAGTTGTGTGCCTCATGTCGTGTCCACTTCCCACCCCACCTCCCCCAAAAATATGGCAGTATGTCCTAAAAGATTCCACCCCTGGGCAAGAAAAGCTGAAACGTTGGATTTTCCAGAAAATCCCTACTTAAGATAACAGCCACAACAGCAACACATCATTTAAAAGTGCTAAAATCCCACATCTTTCAGCACGTTCTTTATGAAGGACCTGAGCTACATGAAGGCACACGATGCAGTCACTGGTTCACCAGGGCTACAGGGCAGGACTGGGGACACATCCCCACTAGGGTCCCTGTGTGTTACCCGGACCCCCCACACCTGCAGCAGCTCTTTGCACCTCACAGGGCTCCAACCAGTAACAAGGAAGAGAGAGGAGAGAGGAGCAAAACAAAGTGATTGCACAAGGAGATGCATCACGGAAGATTTTTCATGGTTATCCCAGTGTGAATGGAGCCCCAGTGAGTGCATGCTGACCCAGAAATCAAAAAGACAACCAATATCACATGAAATCTGTTAAGTTTCCTCCTGCCTGTGTCTAATTTCAGGACACACTGGGATTATCAACAAAACCTTTTGGGCCTATATTAAGCAGTAAGGAGGAAAAAGTTGAAGTAGAAAAGTGCAAGATTCCTAAAGGAAAAAAACTAAGGCTGCTCTCACATCTTTAGACTGCATTGGAGCGGTTGCACTAGTTCCCTTTGGACATCTTGGGTGTCTGGGCTCAGAGGCACTAGGAAAAAATAGTTCTAACTTACACTGAGAGGGAAAAAGAGCAAACAAGGGGATTTCTCACCAGTCGTCACTGCTGAGCCCTGCGAGCGCCTTGAGCAGTGCCTGCTGTGGGTGAGGGAAGGGCCTGGCTTCCTGGGCGTCCCCACTCTCTGGCTCCTCTCCCCGCTCTGGGGTGTCCAGAGCAATGGCCGGCAGCGAGTTGGCTGTAAGGAGACAGTCAGACACCCCCATCACATACTCTCCAGGGCAAGGCACCCCACCACCAAGCAGACTGCAACCCAATCTCCCAGCCAAGATAACCTATGGGTGCAAACCGGCATTGGTTCGGGGAATTCCTTTCCATTTACTTCAAGTATTCTAGAGAGCAGGCATCTCAGTGCTCATATTCTTTTAGCATACTCTCGGGAAAGTAGTAGCCTATGGATTTTGCCATTTTCCAAGTGTTATGAATATTTACTATTTCAGAGGTACCCAAATGGCTGCGTTTCAAAGACGTTGAGGTGAAATTTATTTGTCATCAAATGTACTTGTTTGCAAACTGTGCAATGCCTGAGCTCTCTCTTGCAGAAAAATGCAATTTCTAGTCTAGATAGTTGTAAAAAAAAGCCTTCCAAATGTGAACTGAGAATAAAACCATGTAAATATAGATGCAAATTGTTGGCAAACACACTCTCTTGATGATAAATAGACAAGGTATAAGAAAATTCAGATGACAAATTCATTTGTTATGAAATCTATTTGTCATCAAAAGCACTGTAGGTCAAAAACTTCATGTCTTGCCCTCAAAAGCTCATTTTCTAAACTGTAGGTGAAAATATGTGAGCTGTCTACAAGTACTGAGTATAAATATTGCACAGAATCTAGATGAACTGCTATGGACTCTGCAGGGGTTTTATGCTACCTTACGTGTTCTACAAAGTATGGAGGATGGAGGAACTGCACGATCAAAAATATTCAGATTGGGACTAATTTGGAGGTCACCAATAGCACTGTCACTGACATCAATGATGTCACTGCATGAATGTGTAGATATATTCAATATGAGATGTATGTATACACACACACACACACCTATTCAACAGGAATGGAGAACCACATCAGGCTAGTCCTGGTCAATTTTGAAAATCTGAGTAGCATCACCGTGAAACTCAAGATCATAACACAAGGTAGGCCACCCACAAAGGAGAGACGAGAATCGCTGTGGACTCGCTCTCTGCTGTGTATTTGTTGCAGGTAACAAGCAGCCTGGGAGCCCCAGGCAGCCTCTCCTGTACGTCCCCTGCTACACACGGCCACCATCTTTGGGTGGGGTGACAGAAGAGGCAGGGCTTGTTCCCAATTTTCGTGGCAGGCAGTGAGATGGGAGAGGCTAGAAGCCATTAAGCACTTGTAGGTGCAATAGCATGGTTGTAGCGAGGCAGTAATTTCCACGCAGAGACAAGCCTTGCTGGAGTAGGAGAAAAGTGGGAGAGGCAGAGGAGAGGGCCCAGGCAGAGGGCCAAGACGGCAAGTGGCTAATTGTTCCTGGTGGTGCACATATGGGCACAGCGAGCACAGCCTGCCAGACTGCACCGGAGCTCAGGCCTGCAGCTACAGCTGCCTCCTGGCACCAGGGTTGTCTTTTGGTCTCTCAGTACGGGCAAAAGCTAGAGCTTCAGGCTTGACAGCACCACTGGATGAAGTGTAAGCACCAACCACTCCGGCATCATCAAGCTGGAGCAGATCCAAGACGGTTTGCTCTCAGTCCTCAGGACAGACTCGGGAGCTGAGATCCTGCCTGTGGCTGAGGAATGAGGCAGTTTGTGCTGCGAGGAAGGAGCTGGTGCAGGGGCTGCAGCGCAGCAGGCTCACCTGAGGGCTTGCGTGGGAAGGTGCCATCCTGGCTGCTGACAGGGATGCTGGGCAGTGAGGGCCTGTTGATCCGCTTGCCCAAGGCAGCAGCAGCAGCGCTCTCTCTGCGTGCGCTGCTCATGCCGGGGGAAATGGAAACTGCCCCATTGGCAGGCAGTGGGCCAGAGCCTGCAGAGACCGAAAAAGACCTTGTAAGGGCACTGGACAAGGCAGCTGGGGGCTTGGAAAGGGCTAGAGATCTCTCTGGAGCTGAGTAACATCCCCTGGTTGTCCCAGACAGCCTCAGCCATAACAGTTGCACACTGTCGTGGGAGAGTGATCACAGGAGGCACTGACTCAGAAATGAGGAAAAGTCACTCCTGCTTGGTGTTTGCTTTCCTGTGCCAGAGGCTGGCTAGGGAAGCTCCATTTCTGGGGCTCCCACCTCAGGGCTCCTCACCAGTACTTGAGAAAATAATAGCAAGAAACAGAGCAGATAACCTTGCCCGATGCCCTTGGGCTGAGTGCTGGCTCTGAAATTCGCTGCGGCTGCACTCCTGGTAGCGCACGCAGCGGTGCAATCAGAGCCCCTCAGCTGCAGTTAAAGTCAGCAGAGCTGCTGCTCATGTGGGGAAAACGTTAAGCCCTGGTGAAGGGCTCCAGCCCAGCTCTGCAATGCCAGTTCCTCCAGCAGGGAGTGGTGCGAGCCTCATAGCCTGTCCTATCACATGAGCAAGATGTTTTGTGTTTTCATTAGAGCCCTGGCGAAGGGCTCCAGCCCAGCTCTGCAATGCCAGTTCCTCCAGCAGGGAGTGGTGCGAGCCTCATAGCCTGTCCTATCACATGAGCAAGATGTTTTGTGTTTTCATTAGAAATAGTTTAATTTTGTTTCTTCCAGGGTGCACCTTGGTTGAAAAGCATTCTTTTAGACTCACCCATTCACCTTTCCTGGAGGCTGCTCTCAATTCAAGAGTCTGAAGCCCCAATGTAGTTTGCCAAACAGAATTATCCAGTTTGAAAGACTTTGTAGAACAAAGGGGGAAGGTGATATTCTGTGACTGACTCAGGGCGGGCCACGGGCAAGACCACTCCTGCCTCTGTATTTTTCTTTAAAAAGGGGAAAAAAATCCTTTTCCAGCTTCCACTCAAGTGCAACAGCTTTCCAGTCTCATTTCAGAAACATTTGCAACACTTTGCAAATAGCAAGCAAGTGAACATAAAGGCCCACAACCAAATACAGCAGCCACTTACTTTCTTCAGCTGCATCCCCAGGGTCAACACTTCGTGGAGGAAGCTGCAAAGAGTCCTCTCTCTCTTTCTCCCTCTCTCTAAGCAAAAGCTCCATCTCCCTCATTCGCTTCTGCTGTATTTTCTTCTGAGCTGACTTGGACAACTTAATATGGATCTAGTTGCAATGCAAAGACATACATCATTGAGCATAAAGGCACCCCAAGAGACAAAGATGATGATTTTCAGTGACATTTTGTGCTAAGCACTGAACAGTCAACTGAAAAGGAAGCCTGGTTGCACCTCTCCTTAGCCCTTACCCTTCCATTGCTGTCCTTCAACTCGTCGTCGCTCAGAAGGCCAGGGCTCACAAGGTGGTCTGTCTGCTTGGCCTGGCTGGGTGGGAGGGCAGTTAACGGGGGCACATGGTCACACGAGTGCCCAGCAGACTTCATGCCACCAACGCCACGGTGCTGGAGAGGAGGCAAGACGGGTTCCAGAGGCTGGAGCTCTGATAAGACACAGATAGAGATTGTGAAGGAGAACAATGAGGAACATAACGCCTCTCCAAACCAATGGGGTGCTACTGTATTGCACTGGCAGCAGAAATGACATTGCTCTGTTGGCCATCAGACTCAAACCTACCGCATGATAAAGGCCTCAGCCCTCGGCTCCTGGAGAGCAGCTGTGTTTGACAGAGAAGAGCAGAGAGAGGGAGAGCCAAAAAGGTTCCAATCTGTCCCTATGCATTCTGATTTCAGTAAACATATTCTTTTTTCCCAGTAACTAAAAGAACTCCTGGTTTTTAATAGCTATATGCCTTGGTAGAGGTATGAATGAACATTTCCTCCTCTTTGCTGGAATATTTTAGAGGGCATTTAAAGACAAGATTAGGATTGCTAGAGTGTTACCAAACCCAGAATTGTGCTCTAGAAGCTAGAATTCATTTTCCCCAAAGGGTTTCATGCTAAATTGCAGCAGATCAGCCCAATTTCTGGGCAGCCTTACTAAAGGTTGATTTTCTTAATGGCAATTGCACTGTGTAGTTCATTCTGAAATACTCTCCAACGGAGCTCTTAAAACTCAGAGAACTCATCATTCTTTACACAGCTTCACAGATGATAAAATCACGTGATAGCCAAGCAGTACAAAGGGAATAACTTTGTTAAATCAGGATTTTTTTCCCTCTGCAGAACGGTCAGGTCAATAATAAAAGACAGAGAGATATGGTTTAATGATAGAGCTCATTTCTAGTGCAGAATGTATCCTGCAAAAGCATCACCTTTCTTACTCAGCAATACTTCTCCCTAGTTGCATTCAGCATCCCAGCTGTGCATCAGCAATAAAGGAATCATTCCTATGGGGCATTCCCATTTTTTAGCAGAACTAACACTGGAGCTGAGGGTCCAATGGGTCTCAGTCCTTTTTCTGCATCAGCAAAGTTGTTTGTTACATTCTCATCTCTCCTCTCACTCCAAACCCACAGGTGGCAAAAGGGACAGCCCCAGTGTCATTGAGGTTTTCAGCTTAAAAGTACTGGTTGATGCAGAAGAGTAACCTCACGAGACAAGAAGAGCAAGGTAAACATCATAATGGAGAAGCAGACACCTTGGCTTACCTCATCTCTAGGGCCTCCTGGAAAAGCAGGTGCTGAGAGCTTGGGGGAGGCACTGCAGCCCTGTCAGACTCCTCATCAGGTGGTCTCGCTGACTTGGGGATAGGGGGGATCAAAGCTGCTCCCAGTGACTTCTTCCCATCCCCATTACTGCAGTGCAGGGGCGGCAGGAAAGCCTGGAAATAGCAGAACACAGTGCTCAGCTCAAGCATCCAGCTTACCTCCGTGATGCCACAAGAAGCTTAGCCATGCTTTTACCTAGGACTTGGCAGGAAAAGAAAAGTCAACCTGATGGAGCAGCTTGGCCTAGGATGGGCAATGGAAAGGGAAATGGGAGGCAGAGACCGTGTGTCACGCTGTTGCCAGCTCTCTCCCCTTGCTTATCTCTGGCCATGGCTGTGTTCCCACCTGGCATCCATCTGCTTGTCCTAAGGGTGTTTTGGGGTGCCGGTGCCTCTGTTAGCCTTTCTGATGGCCAACACTGCCAGTTCCCCTGACTGGCATTCCCAGGCAGAGCCATAGGAGAGGAGGAAGCTGCACAGAAGCAGCTGAACTCCAGAAATCTTATTGGAGAGAACTGTGCAGAGGAACATGGCTGTACAACTCAAAAGTTGGGACAACCTAAAGCTGAGTTTGCAGGACTAACTGCTCCAGAAAACATCGTTCTTTTTTTCTAAACCAGACAGAGCTGCTATAAAAAGCCACTAAGACACTGGTGTGTCCCCAACAGGAATTGGAATGTACAGGTGATATGCTTGACCAGATAGACACATTTATTTGCTCTGACTGGTTGCTGGTGTTTTCTCAGTCCTAAAACACAGCAGGAGTCACCAGAGAGCACAGAAACTATGTAAAGCCCTCTTCTCCTATGAGATATGCTGAGGACATGAAGTCTGCACTACGCAAGTTGCAAAGAGAGCCTGAAGCGCAATGCCCAGCTGAGCTCTTCCTTGGCTCAGCTGCTTCCCTGGGCTCACACCACAGACAAAGAAGATCTCAGAGCTCTGCCTACAGGAAATAAACTGTGGATCCACCACACGTTATTGGGCTTGGTTTCCTTACTTTATATCCTTTGGCCTTGGACATCCATCCCCTGTTACTCGCATCACCACCATCACAGCCTGTGGCATTTTCCCCCTGCTCCTCCTCTCCATTGATCAGCCTGCTGGGCTCTGGGGAAGGCAGGCCGTGCTGGATGGGAGGCACAGGCCTGAAGTCCTGCTGGAATCTCTGGGAACGTGCCCGGCAAAGTACTGGCTTCAGGAAGATGCCTGGAGGGACGCTGGAGTCAGTGAGGCCTGCAAAATGGAGACACAAAGTATAACAGAAGCAGCACTGCAAACCTAATGCACCTGAAGCTAAATATTTCACTGGACAGATTTCTTGCAGACTTCTAAATAACTGCCCAGGGAAACATGGCTCATGGTGGCAGTCACTTGAATGGTCAGAGGACAACCCTTCCCCACTTCCCCTGAGCCACCAGAGGAACACCCTGGTCCTCTGGGCTCCCATCAGACAGCAGGGAGCCCAGGAACGTATGGTGACCCAGAATAAATCATCTGCACATAGACCCTCCCTCTCCACTCCCTCTCCCACAGTCATTCACCCCTACAGCAAGAGGAGGGCTACAGAGGGGACTGAAAGCAGGGAAGGTTATTGCAGGGGGGCACACGCAGGGGAGAACTTTTAGGAAGAAATTCTTTCCTGTGAGGGTGGTGGGGCACTGGAATAGGTTGCCCAGAGAAGCTGTGGCTGCCCCATCCCTGGAGGGGTTCAAGGTCAGGCTGGATGGGGCTTGGAGCAACCTGGTCTGGTGGGAGGTGTCCCTGTCCGTGGCAGGGGGGCTGGAACCCGATGATCATTAAGATCTTTTCCAACCCAAACCAGTCTATGGTTCCATGAACTGTTCACTGGTTAAGTACACTAGCTCTCTAGGCTGGGAAAAGAGCCTTCTTCCTGCAGAAGAGCGGCCAGGCTCCTGACTTACCTCTCTGTGAGGCTAACAGACCCTCAGACATCCTCCTCCTCTTCAGCTTCTCCTTGATCTTAATGGTGTCCGGGGCAGCGCTGCTCACCTCCCTCTCTCGGGAGCCCTGGGTCAAGGCTTGGTGAGACAGTTGGTACAAGTCTCCTCTATCCCCAGAGCTGAGGTGGCACACGGTGTTCTCGCTGACCCAGCCATTCAGGGGAGAGCTGCATGAGGATGCAGGGTTCCCAACTCCATCCCATGAACTTGGCTGTTTCTTCATCATGGGGGTTAATGCACACTGAAAAGAAGCTGTAGATAAGGTATAAGGGAAGAAGTGAGTTAGTTGAACTCACACCTGTACAATCAATGAGTGATACATTCAAGGGTTTGTTTTTATTTTTCATAAAACTACCATCAGTTTAATTCTTATGAACAGCACTGATCTAGAAAGCCAGGAGAGAGAGCTTCAAGCTCTCCAAAAAAAGATTCCCATTTCAGGCCTTGGTTTCTGTAAAGACTACCAGTAAAGACCCACATGGTGCTGCTGGTGTTTCTGGAAAGCATAAAGACACCTCAGCAAGCAGGCAAACCTTGCCAGTGTTTCTACAGCACCATGCCATCCTCAAGGTCTGACCTGATGGGCAAGCAGAGGAAGAACTGGGAATTTAATGTGAGACCCCACACATTGATAGCAAGGTTAGAAACAGAACTCACATCTCATTACCATGCCCGATTTATGGCCAGTTGGGCCACAGTCCCTGTCCTGGCTAGCAGTAGTAGTGATTTGGCTTCTGTTGATAAAGGAGAAAGCACAATGCCATGTGCACCACTGGAAGACAGCAGGATCATCTGAGGCTCTTTTGTCAGTCACCTACTCTGACACAGAGCTGGCACATGAGAACTGACCTCCAAGGATCATTTCTCCATGAATTTTTTTTTTATTTTCGTTTGGCTGAGACCACCATTGCCTATTTGACCCCTTTCCACCCTCACTTTCTTCTTGAGTAGTCCAACCACTGCCACAAAACTGCAAGTTTGAATCAGTGCTGCCACCTCATAGAGCTGTGTGTAACCCCCTCAGGTTTGAATTCGGGAATGCCCTCACAGTAGGTGGCAACTGGGGCGAGGTAGTTAGTCCCGGATCCCTGGTATTGCCTTCCCTACAGGGGCTCCTGCCTGGAAAACCACTCAGGTGAGGTGGTGTTGTTAGAACAACATAAAATCATATTCAAGCTATGCGTTTTCCACAGTCTGTCAAAATTATGGCCAGAAAGCCCAAACATGCTGGAGGCAGACTGCTGTCAGCATACTGGGGGGAAACGTAACTCCACCAGCTCCAGCCCAGCAGCTGCTCTCCCCATGGCCGTATGCCCCATGGCTGCAGAGACAAGTCTCTCACCGCACCCACCGCTGCTGGATACAGCACAGCACACTGGAGTTGTCCTGCTGAACTCAGCGATGTCACTGCAGCAGGAGCATCGTCTCACACATTTGACAACAAAGAGCTGTAACGTCTCGCTGGACGTGTCCCAAGAACAACAGGGAAAAAGGGGGAGTAGAGGAGTTTGCTCCTTTTTATTACGAAAAGGATTGAAGGCAGGGGAAACAATACTGGAGAATGATGTGGGACCTCTGTCTTAGCACTTCCCACCACTCTGCAAGATTTTTGTGTAGAAAGGGGTAGGTTAGATTTTGTGACACATCCATGAGTAATTCTGAGCCACAACTCAAACCACAAGCCAAATACTTCCAAATTAGCCACCCATTGGGAAAGGAAGGAGAAAAGCAGTTGAAACAACTGCCCTTGGAGTTCAACTGTCTGCGTTGTAGCCTAGAGTACAGGAGGATACCAATTTGAACTGCTTTGGAAAACCCACTCAGAGGTGCCTCCAAAGCTCTGCAAACAGACCAGCTATCACATGGCAGCTGAGCTCAGCCAGAAGGATCAATCACGGACACAGTTCGGTTAAATTATTACAGAAGGAAAAATGCCTCTGCACTCAATGGAAGAAGCAAAGGCAGGTCCCTATTAACGTGTTCTGTAAACTTAAATAATAAAGAATGCCTGCACAAGGACTTTAGGTATCCTAGTATGAATGAAAATTTACACTCAGATAAATGGTATCCTCAAGCAAATTCCAATAGAAATTGTTCAGATTGCAGCAAGGCCCCACAATGCTCCACCCTCTGCCCAAGACATTTAATTCTGCTCCAAAATGGTCAAAGCATTCATCTGGAATAAAGCAAGTGATTTCAAATAGGCTGGAGTTAGCTGAGACAGCTAACCTACTTCTGGCTTTCACCCTTTGTGGTAGTCTAGATAAATTCACAGAGGCAGTTTAAGGCCAAGGAACGCAGGTTCTTAGAGGGTCTTCAGAGCCTAATTCCCATTACTTTCCATGAAAGGCAGGCACTAAATAGCATTAAAAATATTTAATGTAGGTCTGTTTGAACTGTGTCCTTTAAAACAAGGAACTGAATTCACAGTGATAGGAAAAGCATGAAAAAAAGCTGGACAGACAACAGATACAGTACAGATACTGCTGTATCTGCCTTTCTCCATCCGCCTCTGTTTTGCCCAGCCTGGGGAGTATCAAGACCTCCCTCACTTTTCCTTATTCATTAGACACTGTCCCCTAATCAGCAGGGGTCCAAGGGCTTTGAGAGGGATATCACCTTCTACAACACTTCCTGCAGCAAGTGCTATCACGAGGAATAAAGCAAATTATCCAAAGAGTGACAAGACAAGTGTGCAGGGCATGCACCTCAACACCATGAAAGGCAAGCAGAGAGGAGCTCTTAAGATACAAAAACACGCAAGGTAGAAAAACCAACAGTTTCAGCATCTACATTTTCAAAAAACACTGTTGCAGTGGAAGACTTCTGCCCCTCTGTGTGCTGAGGCCAATGCCTGAAACAAAAAAAAAATCCAAGAAAAAGAGTGCTTTGGTTTCCTTAAAGGCAACGTGTTTTCTGAAGAAAGCTCATGAAGGAAAACAGGAAAGGAAATGACAACTTTACACTTTAAAGCATAAAAACACACACTCTCAAACCCTAAGGTCAGGGAAAATTATGACAGTAATGCTTTGGACTCATAATTATATTGCAGCTTTCCTCTGATGAGCCCAGAGCAGTTTGCATTGCCACCAGTGGCACTTAACACCTCTTTGGGAGGTGAGTCAAGCTGTATTAAAATACATTGGGACACCGAGGCAGGCAAAAGCGCTCCAAACCTCACTTCAGACCTCAGAGTAAATAAACTGCAGTGAGACCAGAAAAACTCTGCTTCTCCTGATGTAGTGACAACTCTCTGTGGCAGGGTAACAACTGGGATTAGGTCAGCTGGAGGAGAAAAGGCTGAACTGTTTCAAAGAGTCTAAAACAACAGAGGGTTTAAGGGAACTACTCTCATTTACAGAGGTACTATAGTAAGAGCTGCCAGCTAAGTATTATCAGAGCTTTACGGGTGGGGATCAGGGGCTTTCAGACTGGTGGATGGGGTATCTTGACTGCAGCTTGCCAAATTTTTATGATGGAGAACACAGTGATTCCACAGAAGTAGTGTGATCTCTGAAAATGTGCTTGTTTCAACTGTTTCTGTGAAAAAGTAAGGTTTTGACTTGAACATTCAATATTTATTCTCAAGTTCTTCAATGAAATTATAAACTAATGAAAAAATTATCTACCGCCTACCTAGGACACACTGCCAGATGAGACCTCGATGAGCCCAAAGCCTGTTCCCAGTGCTTCTCTGATACAGCTGTGGTGTAGAACTTGCTGTAGGACTGGGAAATCAGAGAATATCTTGAGTTCTGCAAGGGTTGAAAAAAGGCTTTCAGACACTCTTGGACACTCACGACACGAAGGAAGGCAAGCAAGCAAGCAAGCAAGCTGCAAGCGTGCACTAGAAGACAAGGAGGGGGTATCCTAGATACTCAAGTACATCACAATGCCAGTCCCCAGAGAGAACCCACAAGATGGAACAGAGACCTTCCCCAGTTGCCCAAAGCCCCTCTAATGTCCTCTGGAGATCCAGGGCACTGTACGTGCATCGTGCTTTCAACCTAATTCATTCAGGATTGCGTGGCCCCACACTAAGGCCACTTGGTTCACCACGTTGCCAATCTAGTTAATGGCACGTTGGCTAATTGCAAGCGTTAGCTCTCAGCCAAGCGCAGCATCTTGCTGCCTGTTTGCTCTGGCTACCTCAAGAGTCAGTAGTCACAGAAAGCTGAACCTCTTCCAGGGAGGCAGAGGAACCAGCTGCCAGTGCCTGCTGTCAAGTGGAAATGGGCTTTTCCCTAATAGAGCTCTTGTTGTATAACAGGGCTGGGGGCCAGGGGCCAGGCAACAAAACCAAACCAAACAACAAACCCCATCAGCACCTCAGGACACCCTCCACAAACACAAAGTCTGGGGGCAGAGGAACAGTAGAGAGGGGAGAAAATAAAATGAAGAAATAATAATAAAAAAAGACCCTGGTTCTTACAGAGGCATGTCAAGAGCAGGGCCAGTGAGCAACTCATATTCCTGAGGGTTAGATATGACTCGAAAGGGCAAAGGCTTCTCCCCAGGTTTACCAGAATTTAGCCCCAATCCTTCTGAAAATGGAACCCAGTTGCTATGGTTTTTACCGTACACCCAGTGTCCTGAACATCATCATGGGTACCTGTCTGTTGGAGGCAGACCCGCTCCTCTAACAGGGTGGGCAAAGTCCCTTGGCTCCATTTGCGCTGCACCACGGCCCACCATTGCAGAGCGACTTGTGGTGTTTACTGCAGCCCTGTGATTCCCTCTCTCTGCTGCCTCAAAGTGCAACCGCAGGGGTTACAGCCCCCATGACTTGCTTTCAAGTGCTTGGGCAAGCTGCGGTACACAGCGAGGCAGCTGCACAACATCAAAGCGGCACAAAAAACCAAACCACTTTCCCACATACACAAAGCGGCACAAAAAACCAAACCACTTTCCCACAGCACCACATTAAAGCCCACACAAGAACCATGAATTGAGTCCAGGGATGCAGAGCTCAGTCCTCAGGCTTTAAAATCCCACTGCTCCTACAGGAAGATGAGTTGCACTTGTCCCAAGAGCCCCATTTTCCCCTCAGTACCATTCATCTGTCGCGCAGAAAATGTGTCGGCACAGTTTGGGGTGCGGGGCTGAGGCTTCAGGACTGCATTTCTGATTTGAAGGGCTCACAAAGATTACAAGCAGAGAACACACAACCTCAAAACCTGTAAAACGACAGGCATGCTCATGGTAAGAGACAGCACCGTGAAGATGAAGCATGAAGGATGAAGGTGCAGGGTAGGCATGTTTGGAAGCCCGTGTTTTACCAGGTGGCAGCCACCAAACCATGTCTGGGATGCTGGACCTGCTAAGCCCTCTCAGTAACCCCCCATAGCACAGCACGGGTCTGAGAGCAGCCAGCCCTGAATGCACTGGGGGGAAAGAGACCCAGAGCTGCAGAGCTGTTTCTTTACTT